TTGTCACTGCCTTGTGTTGAACAGACTTGGCCTGCGAGCGTCATGGAGACTGGCCAAAAAGAAGCTACATAGAAGCGATTGTACCAATTACTTGTCAACCCAAACGCGAAATCAAGGCCTGAAACCCTGAAGTCCTAATTACTGGCCCGACACCCCTCGAAATTCCCAATTCCCGCCCCCCCCCAACCCCCCCCCCCCCCCCACCCCCCACCCACCCCCCCCCACCCCCCCACCCCCCCCCCCCCCCCCCCCCCAACCTCCCCCGTGACCCAACCCCCCAACCCCCACCAACCCCCCCCCCCCACCCCCCCAAACCCCCCCCAACCCCCCCCAAACCCCCCCAACCACCCCAAAAACCCACCCCCCCCCCCCCCACAACCCCAACCCCCAAAACCCACCCCAACCCCCCCCCCCCAAATCCCCCCCCCCCCCCAAACCCCAACCCCCCCCAACCACCCCCCAACCAGCCCCCAAACCCCCCCCCCCCCCAACCCCCACCCCAACCCCCCCCACTCCACACGCCGAGAAGGTTTAGATTGGTTTACCTTCTTTGGTTTAGGGCGATGGGCGATGGGCGATAAAGTTACTGCAAGACTGATGTCAAAAAATTGAAGCATCACACTATTGCTACGTGGTGCGAGCAAGAGTGATAGTAGTCGTCGCCGTCGCCGCCGTCGTCGGAGTAATAATAACGGTTTTGTGTGGATCAGCAAGAACCCTAGCATCCTCCGAAAGCCATCACACTCACTATGGCGTTCGCAGGTCGCCCCTTGTGTGGCTCTTCAGAGTTGTTACAAACTGCCTTGGGCCATGGGACTAACAGGCCAAAGCTCCCAAACCGTACAGTAAATGGCATCTGAAGGGTTTTATTGTAGGGGTCTGACTTGAATTAACTTACTATAGTTCTTAATTCGGAACAGCAGGCAATTTGGTACCCTCTATCCGAAATAGGTCTCCCAATGTAGCCCTTTCAGGGTTTAGATTGGGTACCCACTCCCACTAGGAGCCGATGCGTTAAGATGATGATGACACCTACATTCCCAAGGCGCCAGTCGTCCGCATGGGCTCTTCGTAGCATTGGGCTTAAGCTGAGAATCTGAGAGAGCCACGTCCCTGGGAGCCTCAGATCACCTTGCCCCACTTCGACCGGCTCGTGATAAGTACCGGCACACCGCATGGACGATTAAGAAGGGTCCCTGCTCAGCCCTGAAAAGTGGAGGGCGCAGCTCTGGGTAGTTGAAAGCGAAGATGTCGACCTGCGACATGTTCATCAAGCTCATGATGCGACTTGCCTTCACACCTGTAAACTCTAAACCCCGATAGGTTTATGGGTTGCCCGTAGTCAGACCTAGAAGTACATGTATGCGTTGTTTTGGTACTGCTATTGCCACTCAAAGGGTTAGAGTTCAGGACTTAGAGTTCAGTGAAATATTGGGATGTAGAGTTTTGGGTTCCCCTCCAAGCCTCCTTGAGATTTACAAGACATGCAATGCCGGAACTAAGATGGATTGCTGATGTTGGTTTCGGGATGCATCGGGCGGAGTACAGTTAACAGGGTCTATCCATAAGCCAAGGCGTGCAAATTCCCTAAACCCTACAGCCTACACCCTAAACCCTAAACCCTCTTCCCCCCCTGAGTGAACCCGCCTCAGGCTCGGGGACACGGGCCGCGCGCCCAGAGTTTGAACCTGTACAGATTTTGGTCACCTTTGATGGCAGTGGGGCTGTACATGCCAATATCGAGCTGCTTATCCCTAAAACCCTAAACCCTAAACCCTAAGCCCGAAACCCTAAACCCTAAACCAATGGCTCGAACAAGCCAATGCCTCACCTTCGGAAACAGCGTGAAAAAGGTGCGGCGGTGCTTGGAACTGCCCATGAACCTTCAATGAAGCTCCCGGAAGTTTCCCAGGTGTCGGGAAAACTGCCCTGGTCGTGAAGTTTGTCGACGACGGCTTCAAGAACGACGACAAGCCGACTTTTGGCGCCCTCCCACGACTAGGGGTCGGAATAATTACTAATGATATTCCCTTCTGGTCACTTCTGGTCCCTTTGTAGTTATACAAGAATAACCGCCCAAAACCCTATTCTAATTGTTCAGGCCCCTAGATCAGTCTTTTGTGTTAGGCCTATGTGTTCTCTGTGGGAGGGAAATTTTCTCGGATCTAGGCGGGCTCCTCAAATTCGGCATGACTTGCTCCAGGTGTGCATAGTCCGGAAGTGTTTCTCAAGATATTCGGGACTTCCCAGCCCCACTCTTGGCGAACGTTGGTCATGTTCCGGATTGGCAAAGTTCTCACTGTTAAGGGCTCATGGTCCATGGTTGGAAGGGGTTCACATGTATGCTTGTTGCTTGTGAGGGCGCGCAATGTTTCCGCACTAGTCGTTACCCACTTAGTCTCCCCAAGTCTATAAGTCCTTGCCCCCCTACAAGATTTCTGGCAGCAAGCCCGTAAGACCTGTAAGTCATGAGCCGCGAAAACAGCCCTAAACCCTAAACCCTAAACCCTAAACCCTAAACCCTAAACCCTAGACCCTAGACCCTAGACCCTAAACCCTAAAGCCCTAAAGCCCCAAAACCTTGGGCGCGAAGAGGTATCGACTTCAAGCACAAGATGCTGTGGATGGGAGGCGCCACCGGCTTGGGAATCAGTATGGAGGAACCCTAAACCCTAAGGGTTTAGGGTTTATAGGGTTTAGGGTTTAGGGTTTAGGGTTTAGGGTTTAGGGTTTAGGGTTTAGGGTTTAGTAATTAAACCCTAAACCCACAACCCTAAACCCTAAGGCCCTAAACCCTAAACCATGAGCACTCGGAGGCCTGTACAATGGCCGGGACCTCGAATCTAACCTGCTACAAACTCTATAAACCCCGTACTTGGTATTTGGGGTTTAGGGTTTCGGGTCTAGGGTTAGGGCTACTTGGAGGTTCATGGGTATAGTTATAAGTAGGGCAACTATAGTTCTAGCTGGTTATGACCTTTGTTAAGGTACTTATAACCCTACTTGAACTACCCAAGAAGCTGCAAGTAAACCCAGTGGGCGTGGGGCACAGGCCAAGGGAGCTCCTTTCTCCGCCCAGCCCTTCCTGTGCCTCCCAGAGAGCACCTGACCCCAAGCCTGTACATAGGGTTCAGGGTTTAGGCTTTAGGGTTAGGGTTTAGGGTTTTAGGTTTTAGGGTTTAGGGTCGGGCTACTCTCAATTCGGCATACGACCGACCCCTTTTTCGTTTAGCAGGGCAGAGCGCATGAAGCTGTCGACGGAGCCCACGAACCCGACATCCCAACCCCAGACCCGGACCAGGGAAGCGAGTGAAGCTCCAAATCTGGGACACGGCCGGTCAAGAGCGTCACCACACCATCACGAAGCAGTGCGCTCTTGCCGTGTCGGGCTTGTAGCTTGTGAAGCCATGAACATACTTCTGACTCTCTGAGCGTGAATGGGTCGTAGAAGCATGCATGTGTTTCTTTCCCTCTCTATGTTTTCGACAGTTTTTGTAGCTCAAGCCAGTGCTAAGCTGTGAGCCGCAGGTACTACCGAAGCGCTATGGGCATTCTTCTCTGCTACGATGTCACGCGTGAGGCGTGAGGTGTTGGGTGATGCTGGGTTTAGGTTGCCTGTGGTTTAGTGGCTTAGTGTTTGGGTCGAGGTTTAGTCTTGAGGGCTGTACCTGCAAGTAGAAGCTTCTGCTTGATTCCTGCAGTTGCAGGTGGCTTTCTGCCAGATCAGTCATGGCCTTTTGCCACGACCTTCGCTTTCCGGGCTTAACTTCAAAGCCCCTTAATGTATTCTGAGTACTCACCCCCTCAGAAATTATCCCCCACGCAATCTATCGCCTTTCTACAGCCCTGCGTAACCCTTCTATACTCCCTGAAGCCAAAGCGCACCCGTCACTTTCAAAAGCCAAGCCTTGCCCCCTGAGCTGCTACTTGCAGGTTCATGGACAGGTAGAAGTACAGTTACACTTTAATTCGGGTAATTCTACTTAGAACCTTACTTAGGGCCACCGAAAGCCCTCCGTTCCTGTATTAAAGAAGGCAAATTTCACTGTGCCCCCCAGGCCAGATCCTGGAGAGGGCACGTAGAACCCTGCTTAGAACTACCCATGAACCTCCAAGTAGCCCTAGACCCTAACCCTAAACCCTAAACCCTAAACCCTAAACCCTAAACCTCCCAGTGCGCCAGGATTCCTTCCAAAACATCAAGCGCTGGAACGAGCAGATCGAGTTGCACGGCGCCAAGGCTGACTCTGGGTAGTTATAAGTAGGGTTATAAGTAGAACTATAGTAGGGTTTAGTTTAGGATTACGTTTGTAGTGTAGGGTTTAGGGTTTAGGGTTTAGGGTTTAGGGTTTAGGGTTTAGGGTTTAGGGTTTAGCTGCCCTATACTTCTAACTATACCCATGACCCTCCTAGGAGTACTCGGAGTGTTGCGGGACAGCAACACATGCACTGCGAGCAGCTACTTCCTCACAGCTCACTTCGTGCCCTAAAGCGTAAACCCTAAACCCTACACCCTAAACCCTAAGCCCTAAACCCAAGGAGCCTGCAACCTTGGACTCCTTGAGTCAGATTGCCGCGGACAGTTCCCTAAGTCATGGTCTCTGATTTCGGGTCTCTGTTATTATGCGGCCCCCCTTGTATGTCGGGTGCGCGAAAAGGGTTCAGGGGTTTAGGGCCTAGGGTGTAGCAATTTGTCCAAACATCGAGGCTTCTGAGGTGGCTCCAGGGTCCATGGGGTTAGGGTTTAGGGTTTAGGGTTTAGGGTTTAGGGTTTAGGGTTTAGGGTTTAGGTTCCAGCACAGTGCCATCCAAAAGCACAGGTCATGTTTCTTTCCCTCAGGGTCCACGCTCCTCATGGTCATGTACTTGGGACCCAACAGTCCCTGCACAGAGCTTAGAGGCGCATGTATTCCCTATTTAGATGCATAGGCCCTTATGGTTTTGCAGTGACTTTCCAGGGTTAGTGTTTGGGGCTTAGGGTTTAGGGTTTAGGGTTTAGGGTTTGGCGTAGTCAGAATGCTCTTAGGGGCTCACAGCCTCGACCTGTTCCCGAATTCTCTTGGGAGGACGTCCAGCGCATCCTGGTCGGAAACAAGGCCGGGGTCGGACACCGGGACAGAAAAGCATCATGTGCCTCCCAAAACAATCCCAAAATCACGCAGAACCCTAAACCCTAAACCCTAAACCCTAAACCCTAAACCCTAAACCCTAAACCCTAAACCCTAAACCCTAAACCCTAAACCCTAAACCCTAAACCCTAAACCCTAAACCCCAAGCACTAGCCCTGGACCCTATAAAGCTCCAGAGCCCATGGAGCCCCAAAAACGGCCAGGCGGACGCGGAAGACATCGCCGTGTCCCCGGAGCGGGGTAGGGCGCTGGCAGAGCAGCCCGGGCCCCTGGCGGCTTGAGCTAGGTGTTAGGGCTTCGGCTAAGAGGGTATAGGGTTTCGGATAGGGTAAGGGGAAGGGGGGGGATTTAGGGTTTAGGGTTTAGGGTTTAGGCTTCCTAGGGATTTTCGTGCCGACTGGTCCTTGGGCTTTGGGGGCTTTAGAGTGTGGAACTCCCACGAACCTGCCAGGCTAAGAATTCCAAACCCTAAACCCTAACGCCAACGTGATCCTAGCAGCCGTATGGCTTGGTTAAGGGTTGATGTCATTAGGTTTTAAGTAGACTAAAATCCAAAGGTTTTAAGTAAACTAGAATCCAAAGAGAGTGGTGTCGGATCGCTTGCGGGATCCCAAGTTCTTCCTCCCTCGAGAATGGCATAGGACCAGAATTTCGAGGGTTGAGCTGAATAGACCTAAACCCAAAATCCTAAACCCTATGCCTTAAACTTTAAACACATAAATCAATGAGAACTGAATAGACCAGCCAGATATGGCATGCCCTTCTTCGAATCCAGCGCGTGGTTTGGCCAAAACGTCAACGAGGCGGGTGCTGAAGTTGAGGATAAGGATCAGGGCACCTAAGCTCCACCTAAAGGCTCCTGGAGCCCTCAAGCCCTTGCTAGAAGCAACACCAACTAAGGCCTAAAGCTCCAGCCCTATTTGCTGGAGGTTTGGGGTTTAGAGTTTTTTGGGGGGGTTTGGAACATTGCCAGGATGCAGTTAGTGGGCAAGGGAGTGGTCGCAGGTGCTCTCGAGGTTTTGAACTTCGGCACTTGAGGCTTAGGCTCTGTCGGGCTGCCATTTCAGTTCTGGGCTCTTGGGCGTACAAGTTTGTGGGCAGGTTCAGGGTTGACTTTTAGGCTTTAGTTGCTGGTTTTAAAAGGTACCCTGCACGATGAACAAGGTCATATTTTGGGGTTTGGGGGTTGATGGCTCAGGGCTTTGTCAGTTTATGGGTACGGAATCAGGGACTAGGATGGAAGGCAAGAGAAGTCTGTCTGCACGGCATCAGTCCTGCGACACACTCACACTCACATGGGGAAACCAACATTGCCAACACGCTACACTGAGCTATGAATCGCAAATCCTAAGCCGCAAACATCATGCCCCTCAGCCCCGAACATTGTAGGCCTTGCAACCTAACCGCTTTGTAAACGAACTGACCCTAAAACCCCGTCGGTGGCCAAGCTCTAAGCTCTGCAAGCAAACAGGATCATGGCTAGTTAGAAGGGGGGGAGATGAGCAGGGCAACTAGCGCGTTGTAACTGGTAATCCTTAATTCTAGGGTTGCGGGTTTAAGGTTTCGGGTTTTAGGGTGCTCACAGCCCAACTTAAACCTTCCAGTATGCTACCAGCCGTGACCTCAGAGCCCGAAGCTCTAATGCCTAAACCTTGTAAACCCTAAATTGTCTCAATGCCTAATCCCTTAAACCTTACCTGGTCCTTCGTATGGCCTCCCTTTTGTGACCCCAAAAGCAAAAACTGGTAAGACCAAAAAAAACAACCACATGACCCCATAAGAAACGGAAAACCAAAAAATGGAACTCTGAAGCAAGCCCCAAACCCAGACACCCTAAACCCTATAACCCTTAACCCTAACACCCTGCTGGCCGGACATCCTTTGGAGCTGGGATGTGGAAGTGCAGGGTTTGGGGTCTATAGGGTTTATAGGGTTGAGGGTTGCTAGGGTTGTGAAGGTTTTTAAGCTTCTGCTTTGGAGCGCCGGCTATTCCAGCAGTGGTCGCCATGCATAGTGGTGGCAGGAGCATGGATGAAGCTCATTCTGTCGAGATAGCACATTGCATGTAGCAAAAAGCATCATGCAATCAATCTGTACATTTCAACATGGATGCCTGATCATGGCCCGTTTTTGCTGGATTTGTCTGGCTTTTGCAAGCTGTGTTGATTGCACTCCCTTGTAGGGTTTTACGTGCCACTTTGGGTTATAGAGGTTTATCTGGATTTAGTGTGAGGAGAACTTCCTCAAGGTATAGGGTTTGTATGAGACCTTTCATGTCTTGTGGCCCCTTCCCAAGAAAAGAACCTATGTAAGCCCCAAAAACGAAGACTTTATGCAGGACCCACAATGGTTGCAGAGTTTCGAGGGTTGAAGGGTTTATAGGGATATATGGGAGAGTTTTGTTTCGGGAAGACAGAAAGTGAGTGGTTATACTCAACGTCTTGGTGTTTGTTGGTTGCTCTGCTCTTCTTCTGTTTAGGGTATTAGGGTATTAGGGTATTATAAGGACTCAAGGGCTTGTGCTACGCCAGCATGCTCTCTTCACAACCTATCCCTAAATACCCCGCCTACTAGCCCCAGAAGCCCTATAGGTTTTCGGTGTATATAGAAGGTAGGGTGGTAGGGTTCCAGGTCTAGGGTTTATATAGGGTCTCTCTCTAATATATAGGCTACACAAAAAATATATATGTATATAGGGCTTAGAATACAGAATATCCCTATAGAAACCCAAGCCCTACTAGCCAACCCCATAAGCCCTGTAAAAGCCCTTAAAGCTTGAAGAGCCTGTAAAACAGCCTAAAACTGAAACCCTTATATTGCTTCTGCTGCAAGGCCAGCATTCTCTAGAACCCGGGGCCCTGTATCCCCCACCTTTACAGTTTCAAGCCCTTTATGCCCTAAAACTGGAACCCTTACACTGGCCTATCTCTCTCCCCCGACCCCCCCATCTCTATACGCAAGCCAAAACTCGAAAACTCCAACCTTGAATGCGAAACCACTGGAACCCTGACACTGGGACCCTAGAACCGTTAAAGTCCTTGATCCCAAAGGATCTTTAGGGTTTATAGGGTTTAGGGTAGTCGCAATTGTCCCTTAATCCTCTCTTGCGAAACCCTAGAACCTTAACGCCCTTGCTCCCAAAGGATCTTTAGGGTTTATAGGGTTTAGGGTAGTCACAATTGTCCCTTAATCCTCTAGCAACCGCAAAGACCTCCCGAAACAAACCTTTGAAGACCCAGTAAAGCACGAGAAACCAACTGCGAAGCCACTAAAGACCTTCATGGGCTGGAAAACGCAAGAGAGACAAAGCAGAACGCCCTCCAGCACCGGACAACCAACCATCAACTTCCCCAGAATCCCAAGAGAAGCTTCTGAAGAGCTTGCAAATCCAGAAAAAACAAAGCGTACATCTTAAGGCCTGCAAAACCCGAAAAACCAAAAAACAAATGAACGCCTGCAACGTCCGGAGAACAAAGAAAACAACAAAACCAAAACAAAAAAAGACCTGCAACACCCGGAAAACCAAAAAGCACAAAGAACCAAAAACTGAAGACCAGCAAGGGCCTAGAAACCAAAAATCTCAAAACCAAAAACCCAAAACCTTCCGAAAAACCAAAAAACTGGCTTCGAAAACCCAAAACACCCCAAAACAGAAACCAACGGAAAGCAAAACAAACAGCACGGAAAACCAAAAAAATGCGCAAGAAACGCACGGAAACCAACAGAAAAATTAGAGACCTCCCCCCGACCAAGAAATTGGTATTTCTAGACAAAAAGGAAAACCAAGAAACCTAACAACCCCAAAAATTTGGTAAACCCACCCTGAATGTAAAAACATACCATGCACGGGACACAAACTCGACAGATGTCATGGAGGTGCCAAGAGGGTTTAGGGTTTAGTGGGGGTTCTTCTTAAAGAAACCCTATACCCCTACAACTGGGAACGGTATCGCAGTGTAAAAGCACGAACAAAGATATGAATGAACATCTGAATGAATATACGAAGTGAGGACACGTCATAATAAAATTCATAAGGGCCCCTTCGTTCTATTTGCATTGTAAATAGGCCCTTTCACATAATCCTTTGCGTCACTTCTTTCTTCTAATAATTCCCGGGCGCTAACTTCTTTCTTTTAATATGCGCCCGTGATATAATATTAAAAGACGAAGAGAAAGAGCGAACTGATTTGTAATGGAGAGAACGAAGTGAAAGAAAGCACGAAATTAGTAAGCGATTGAACGAAACAAGGAAATACACGGGCACACAATCAGTCTTTCAAAAAGCCCGCGGGAACAGGAATAATAATATGATGAAGAGAGTAAATGAGTTAGTTTATAAGCGAGCGAAGCGAGCGCAATAAACGTAACGAATGTACGAACGAAATACACGCGCATACCAAAAGCCCTTTTCCGGCGCGTGATATAATATTATTACTGTCATTCCGGCGCTCACCATATTCTTTTCATGCGCCGGTGTAATGATTTGAATAAAGTGAAGAGAACATTAAAGGGCATATTAATAATATTATAAGGACACGCATGAATATTATTAATGGGGCCTTTAAGTGAACGAAACAAGAACTGTTTTGCCGTGCGTTAATATAATGTGTACACGTGTGAACTAAATTATAGTACAAACGCACCCGCAAAATTAGCCCTTTAATTTTATTGCATTCACGGGCCCCTTTTGACCATAGAATTAATACTGGCCCGTGCGCTACATTCACCACCTTTGTCTTGTCACGCGGTTCTTTCTTATTGTTACAGTGAGCTTGCGAACCGCGTAAACGAAGAACGAAATCAAATTATACATGAACGAAAGGAGTGCATGAATTTAGTGAGTGGTTGAGTGAGCGCCCCAACATCAGGTTCTCCAGCTATAACAGTGTAACACCTTGGAATCATGAGCCAGGAAACTAGACCATTGAGCCCCCACATTCACCCTTAGATTTAGTACTGTGTTCCCATCCTATTCTCGGGGTCTTATTGCGTGCGGAGTTATCATATTATAATATGCAAGGAACATAGTGACCGCGCGATATTAATATTATAACGTACAGCATTATGAGCGCAAAATGAGGACTGCGCTCTCATTATATTATATGACAAGCGAGCTCAATTAGCGAGCAAAAGAAGAGACTTAAATGACAAGGGAGTGAATGAGTTTATGAATGAACAACCGCGTGCATTTAATGAACGAAGTGTGAAGAGAACAACGTGAAGAAAATATTATTACAAGCGCAATGAAGATATGAATAAGCGCGTGAGTAGTATTAACTGAACGTGTGAACGAAACCAGCTATTACTTTCATAATCTTGTTTGCGCTTGTAATTTAATTGTAATGAAACGCAGTGAAAGCACCAACTAATGAGGAAAGCGCACACAATAGCATTAAAATGAATGCGTGCTCACTTCGTTCACACCTTTATTCATACTGTTCTCTTCACGGGCGTCACATGAATTCTTTAATGTGCGCCCTGGTACCATGTGAGTCCATTTAGGAACCCCCCATCCATGTTACATTCCAGAACCACCCATTCAATGTCTAATTGCATCTATTCCTAAAAACCCCCAAAAATGGTCATACCAAAAAAAATTGGTAATACCAGAAATTTCTGGTTTCCAGGATTCGGAGTATGAAAAGGCGTACGTTGGAGGGATCAGGTAGGGTGTAGAGTTTTGGCTTTTGGGCCCTAAGTATGGTCCCTTTCCCTTGTTTATAGGGATGCGAGGTATGGGGCCCTTATTCTATACCTGAAGGCTCCAATGTGGTCCCTTTTTGGGTCAGCAAAAAAGAATTTAGTTCTAGTATACTACTCCAAAAAGGTACTACATGGGAGCCTTTGGGTACAGTGTATTAAACTAGGCCCGGGAGTAGGCCCTTTTTCCTTTTTTAGGGTTGGGGTTCTCTTCTAATCCCCTCAAAACCAAAAAGGGTACCCTTTTTATTCCTAGGTTACTCCCGAGCCTCGTAAAAAGGCTGAACAAAGCACTGTGAGTACAAACAACCCTAAACCCTAAACCCTAAACCCTAAACCCTTGTACAACAAGGGACCCCAAATTCAGGGACCCATACTTGGAGCCATCGAGCCCAAGCCCCCACAGACGGCGTGCCCTTGCGAGATGGTGGTTCATGGGTAGTTTAGGGTTTAGGGTGTAGGTTTTGGGGTTTGGGGTTTAGGGTTTAGGGTTTAAGTACAGTAAACTCCGAAAAGTTGGAACATCCTTATCCACATACCCCAAGAGGCATACTGAAGGGAATCCCGGCCCCTACTCCTTATTAAACCATGTTCCAACTTTCTGGAGTTTACCGTACGGTTCTACGTGCCTAAGGGTTTACGGTTGAGGGTTTAGGGTTTAGGGCTTAGGGTTTAGGGTTTAGTAAGGTTGTAAGTCTAGTTACCCCAATTATATCTTCCCATATTAACCTCCCAGCAGGCCTTCCTGAAACTCACGGAGATGGTCATCCGACAGCGGTGTCGCGAGGTGGGGAACCCACGCCAGTTTAGGGTTTTCAGGGATTAGGGTTTAGGAATGTTTAGGATTTAGAGTCCAGTTCTAGGACCGAGTGGAAAATTTGGCCCTTCAGGTTTTTGGGTTTTGGGTTTACGGCTTAGGGTCCAGCTCTAGAACCTAGCGGAAAATCTGGCCCTCAAGGTATAGGGAACCCGGGAGCACCGCCCACCACCAAAGGGTACCAAGAGATCCAAGCGGCGGATGATCTAGGGTTTAGGGTTTAGGGTTTAGGGTTTAGGGTTTAGGGTTTAGGGTTTAGGGTTTAGGGTTTAGGGTTTAGGGTTCAGGACGAGCCGTTTGTGCCGAACTCCCTCCGCCTGCACAAGGACACTTGGGGGGGGCGATTCTCTGAAACAGGGTCCCTTTTGGGGGTGCTCTGTATAAGGCGGCCCCTAATATTTGGGCATACCCCAAAAAGCCACATAGAGTAAAATTCAGAACTCACCACATGTTCCCACAATTCACATGCGTCGCTCACGAGCAGCAACGGAGGGACATGCGCCCTTACACTTGTCCAGGAGTCAGCGACCAAGGAAAGGCCATGCTGTCTCCGTGAGTGATGGCCCTTGGGATTTTAAGGTTTTATGACCGACTGGCTTGAATCTTACTCCTGCGTGGAGGGTCCTGCCGGCATTTCAGCTGGCGTTGCACGTCCTGGGCTGCTTCCAAATTTATGTCCTCGTCGTCGGTGGCGGACAATCAGGGTGTTCGAGTCAGCGGGGGGTCACTGAGCAAGTCACCGATTGAGGGTCGGCCCACAATTCAGTGCATGTAGCAGCTGTGCAACAATGGTAAAGCTGACACAGTGGACAGGGTTCATGTACAAAGGCTGGCGCTGTCATGATGGGCCTTCC